GAAGTTGGCACCTTTGGCCACCACATTCATTTGGAGTTTACAGGACTCATCCTTTGGAAGTTTATGGGAAATAGTTTTGTTCTAGCAATAATTTTACTCTTTGTGTCTTCAGTCCATTCCATTTCTAGGTCAGGGCCTCAGGCTTCCTGTATTTATTTATTTTTAATCCTGCTTGTTTCCATTTCAATACAGTAATTTGTATATTCCAGTAACTGCATTATATATGCCTCCATTTTAAAGAGAGACTCTTCAGATTTAGATTAATAATGATCATTTGTCCATCTGCCATTTGTCCATCTGTGAAATGAAAGATTTCACACAAGATATATTGGAAGAAGTTTTTGTTAGTAAGCTTGAATTCACTTGTTTGTATACTTACAATAGGAGATTATCTCAGTTCACTGGGCTAGACTTTGGTCTGATTTACATTAGTCAATGGCTTATCTCCATTGACTTCCCTAAAGTTTCCCTGGAATTTTTCCAGTGTACACATGATTATGATCTTTTTTTTTATTTTGTTTTTACTATTACACTTAATGATTATTTGAGCTGCTGGCTGAACCCAGACTGGTGACCAGGAAGTTTTCTTTTGTAGTAAAATATTAAATAGATATGAGCAAAAACTCAAACCCAAATCTGGAAGAAATCTTCTTTCCAGATCTAGATTGAAAGTGCCAAAATCTTGCCTATGGTGGCAGAAATCTCTAAAAAGACAGCTGACCTTGTATGATTCCTACCATTTTCCATTAACTATTGTTGAATCTGAACCAGTAGTTCTCAAACTTTTGTATTGGGGACCACTTTCACATAAGAAGCCTCTGAGTGTGACACCCTTCCTCCCCTTATAAATTAAAAAAACTTTTTTCTACATTTAACACCATTATAAATGCTGGAGGCAAAGCGGGGTTTGGAATGGAGACTGACAGCTTGCGATCCCCCATGTAATACCCTCACAACCCCCTGAGGGATCCCGACCCCCAGTTTGAGAACCAAAACCTCAAACTAGATTTGGCTTCAAAACGTGAAGCAGAATTCTAACATTAGATATTAAGGAAACCCTGGCCTAAATCGAACCTGGTTTCAGCTCTGAATACTGCCACTTCTGGCCATCTGTAGTATTAAATAAATTCAGACCATTGGTCTTCACATGGGATACTCAGGGGCATAGTCTAGTTGCCTCGCTTTCTCAGTGAGAATCGTCCACACATGTTTGTTCATTAGCACAGGGGTGAAAGTTCTATTCTCTAGCTATATTATCATAAACTTCACTGGGCTGCATAATCCTAGGCACTTGAGACCTAGAAGGGCAATCGCTCTGTTTGTTAGACTAGTTGTAATGTCTACAAATTAATTCTGCCAGTATAATTTGATTCAGATGAATGGGGATATCACTGAGTCTAGCATCTTAAAGAGGGTCATCTGAGATTTATTTGTAAATAGGTGGAGGAGTTCAGGACAAGTGTCATTTTTAAAGGATAAAGTATTAAAAGATTGCTTATTAAGAATAAAGTAGCTTTGTCCAGTGATCTGGTTGTATTATTGTAAACCATTTTTATAAAAAACTGTATCTTAATTTAGTTCAAATATTTTTTCAAAGTTGCTATTTATGTGAATACTTATGTCTCTGATGGAACTGGGATGGTGCTTAATTGGTATTTTCTTCTTGGTTACTTACTTTGAAAAGCTCAGTTTTGTCACAGCCAATTTTTAATCCTGAGCAACTCCCAAATGTATTTAGTGCACTGAGTATATTGAGTAGTGCATGTTGGAGCTGGGATAATAAACAGAAAGGTCATTTATGTGCCGTGAAATATGATCAGGGATGTCTGCAGCCAGCATGCTTTTGAGTTCAGATGTGTGCTGCTAACGATTCTATATCTACAGCTTACAATATTGGCCAAATTGTGCTCTCCCCTGGCAAATCGGTATCTAATTACTTATGCCAGGCTTATCACAATGATATCAGAATGTCTCTCTGCAGAAGGTCAAGGAATCCCACAACTTTCAGTGTGCAGACTTTCCTCCAAACCAACACTTGGGGGAAGAGTTGCGGCATTTGCCATTGTGTAGGGTAAGTGGTGGACATGACTCTCCTAACACACAGGTATTCCAAGATCCAGAGGGCAGCCACACAGACCTCAGGGCAGCTGCAGAGGGTCTGGCATTCATGTGGATGTCAGAAACCTATGACATTTTTATATATAGAAAAGATATTTGAGATCAGTTGTGAAGGGTTTTTAATTATTTTTTTCTCTCCCTCTAAGCCCTGTAAAACTGGCCTAGGGTCTCAATAAAAATGTGAAAAAACTCTCTAAAACACTCAAAAAATAGTTTTTCTGTAATATAAGTGAGCTATAGAGAACATATGAGGTGTGGTGTAAAGGTTCTTCCTTGAGTAATTGCACATGTGCATTCCTCTCTTGGTGTTTGTGCTCCCTGCATACAGTTGCCAAACATTTTTCCCACAGTGCTACCCATTGGGATGGCTCAAGCACCCTCTGCTGCCATGTTCTGCAAGCACCAGTATAAAGTGGTGCCCAGCTTACCCTGTGCCCCCTCAATCCCTTCTTACTGCCCATGATGTCACTGGAACTGCTTTTCTTGCATTCACAAGTTCTCTGTGGACTTTTCTATATATATTGTAGATAGTTATTTAGTTTTAGTGTACTTATTAGTTTAGTTAGTTTTTGGTATTTATTGGTTTTTCATCTGATCCCCAGTGCCAAGGGATGCCTCGATCACCAGGCTTCAAGCCCTACATCTCCTGCTATGCCCCTGAGTGACCCACATTCAAGTTGCTTGAAGTGTCTGGGGAAGCTCATTTGGGGGCTTCTGCAAGGACTTTAAGCATTGCACGAAGACGGATCGGGAGGCCAGGCTAAAATTTCTGCTCATGGAAGTGGCACTGAGACCTCCATCTGGGCCAGGCCAGTCAGACTCGGCTCCAAGTGCCATGGTGTCAGTAAGGAATGCTCCTCCTATCGTATCACAGTCCCAGCACTGATCACCATCCCCAGTGCCTAGAAGAAAGCATAAGAAACAGGCGGTGATTCCCAGCAACCAAGATCTGCCAGGCATGGGGATCAGAGTAGAGTGCAATCTAAACCCAGGCACTCTTCTGCCTCGGTACCACAGAAACCGGCACCTTTTACTCTGGCACCTGTGTAGGTACTGTCAAGCCTGGAGCCAGAAGAGGCTTCCACATTGGTGGCACTGCACTGTACTTATGCTGTCTTAACTACACCAGAGGCATTTGCAGCTGTCAGGGATCTCCTGTCATTGTCAGGTACCAGTATTACCAGCACCACAGGAGTTACCATTATCGGTGCCAGCAGATATGGAGGAACTGGTTGGATTGTTATAATGCTTGTTACCATGCCAGCCTCCCATACCCAGGACGGTTCATCCTTTGGCACTGTGAAAGGGAAAACCTGTGATGCTTGCCTTGCCACCTTTGCATTGATTTCTGGCACTGTCAGGAATGGCACCCCTGTGGTCAGTGGAAGAAAACTCGTCCTCTTGCAAGTCGGAGGTTGGGTCCTACTCTTTCTACCCTCAGAGCTGCTCTTGCTACTCCTCCAGACATTTCCACTCTTCCATGGATCTGGTCATAGGAGTACCATTCAGTGGTTGGCCAAGAGGTAACTGGGGACCTGGAGGTCCAACAGACTGTTCAGGACCTGCCCTTTGAGGGATCCTTGTTCTTTTCAGAGGAGACGGATGTGAACTCAATGGGCTAAAGGACTCAAGGGCAACCCTAAAGTCCCTTGGGTTGTGCACCCTAGCCCTTTCCAGGAATCACTACAGACCTCAACAACCCCTCTGGTATTCTGCCCCAGTTACCCATCAGGACCTGCTGGGAAAAAGAAATAAGGGTTATAGGTGTAGATACCCTGCCTTTTACCTCTGCATTAATGCCTGCACTATCCAGACATCCAACAGTTTCTAAGCAGGCATTTTGATGGAAAGCTTGAGGACGCGTACCAGTTCCCATGACGCCAGATCCCATTTTTCCTTTAGTTGCAAACCACCTTTCCCACTCCTCAGAGATTGGTCCCATATCGTGAGGGACTGTTGGATATTGAGTGCTGTAGAAGTGGGATACATCCTCAGCTCATTTCTCTCTAATATCAAGAAAGCAGGGGAAGTAAATCCTAATAAAGAGAGTGAGGTGAAATGAATGATAAGTATCATCTGTTTGGGCAGAGTATGTTTAATCTGTATTTGATAGTAATGTTTCCAATTGAAAACTTTTTATTTTTTTTAAACAAAAAGTCCAGGTTGCCAGTGTGTTTGGGTGACTCATTGTGCTGGCCCGGTCCAAAAAATCCGAATCAGACATTACAATCTAAATAGAAAAGTCAGACAGTATATAAGCAAATGTCAAAGGTAGATTCCCCCACTACACTTCCTGCTTACCCTATCACTCTGTCCAGGTGCTTTAGCCAGTTTGTTACACCGTTATTGACCCTACCTGCCTTTCTTAACCCTACCTACTTCACTGAAACAGAAACAGGGTCAGTGTGTGTGGTGGTGAGGTGGAGGGAAGCGGTAATGTAGAGAGGAACAGGAGAGGAAGAAAAGAATTAGACAGTCAATGGTGTTTGCCTACTCCACAAAAATAGACGTGTGTGTGTGTGTTCGTTCTCGTTCTCTTTGGTCCCTTTGCAGTCCTTGCTGCTCTCTCCCCACCACCTACCTTCAGAGGATCTGGGCCGGGGGAGATTCCCACCTCTGCTCTGTGGGTTCCTAGACTGGGAACATCCTGGTGGTCTGTCTTGCACTAAGATGTAACTCACTGCACAGCAGTGTTTATCAGTGCTTCTTGTAGCTTCAATAAACAATTGCTGCCTTAATTTCTGCAGTACCCACCAGGTGCAGTTGGGTGATCAGTGCAAAGAACAGAGAAGTGCAGAGTTCTGTAATTTCTGCTTTTCAACCCAAAACAATTGTCACATCATTGGTCTGTATCTTCCCTGCTATGTAAACTAAAATATAATTCTGTCAAATAGAATATACTTGTACAGCCCTACAAAGGGCTTTGTCCTAAAGACACAGTGAAGCCCTCACCATGTAACTTTACAGTTACAGTGTATGGAAACACCTCTTTAAAGGCTTAAAAACTGGAATGATAGAAAGAATTATAGAAAATGCCAAAAGAAAGAATATTATAAGGGATGGGGATTAAAAGTGATATGAAGGATGCAAGGCTGTCATGATGTAAGATTCAATTATAGCCATCTGATCCACATCGGGTGCATGAAGGAAGTGTGATTAATATACTGTGAATCACAGACTAGATAGTTTTTCACATAATTTTTAACCTGGATCTCCTGCTGGGGTTTGGGGGCTTTTCCTAGAGGGCTGGATGTTCAGTTGTTTTTGGTGGTAGAGGGGTTGATACTAAAAGGCTAATGGGTAGGAAGGAAAGAGAATAAAGCAAAAAAGACTTCAGTATAAGATTTTTCTGTAGCTGACACCAGCAAAGAGTATTATCTAAGAAGGTTTCAACTAGTGTTAGACAACACTAGTAACAAGGGAACTTGGATTCTTGAGTCATTAGGAATAATTTGGAAAACACACCAGTTTTAAATAAGAGAAACCATCAACTTTTCTATTTTCACCTCATTTGAATAAAAATATAAGGTATCTCAAATAAAGTAAAGTTTGTTTCCATCATAAATATGTTTAAACTAAGATTATAAACCTCTTTAAAATCCTATTTCACCACTGTTTTTTCTAAGACATGAACTAGCTTGCATAACTGTATGGATAAATATTGCCAGAAATACATACCAGATATTGTTTGAACAATTCTTGAAACCCAATACAGGATTGTTGGGTTGTATTTAATATTCTGTATGGTTTTTCTAGTGCATAATGAATGTTTTTAAGCAAAGTGCTTTCTCTTTTTGGATGTACCTAACGTTTTTGCCACAACTTTCCTCAGCTAATTACCAATGTGGTATTTCAAATTGGTTTTATCCTAATTCTTTTTTAGACCATAAAAGTGGATGATTCTAATGATTCTTCTTGGGAAGCAGGACAAAATAAATAAATGTTTTTGGGGGTATAGATCAAACACTCATATCCCTAGTGATTAAACTGAATTTACAATTATGTCTGCACAGTACCCACAATTGCTGTTATCCTAAAGGATAGGAAAGACACAAACTATTTCAGTGCAAAATCTCTCCATGTTTTCTTCAATAGCTGTTCCCTTTGGAAGGGGAAATCAATAACCCTACATAATTGTTGCAAGGTTAAAAAAATCATTATTTGTAGCATTACACTTAAAGGTATCTCAAGTATTTCCATTATAAACTCAGTTTTCAAGAGTAAATAACTTGACCCGAAACTCTGCATACTATATTAAATCAAGAACATTGCAGAAAGAAAAAGAAGCAAAAATATTTTGCCTAAATAGATCTTTGCACCTCTTGAAGTATAATAAATTATGAGGTTATGTCTCCAGTGCCTCCTAGAGTATGCTGGTTTCACAGTAACCGTGTTGACAGAACACTTGTTTGAAGCAATGTCAGACATTTTCTTTGCAGACGTGTTATTCGCTGTGGCTAGGTATACAAAGTACATCCCTGTGTCCCAATTATTTGAAGAGAGACTCTCTTTAAAATGGTCCAGAACACAAAAGTTTCTTGGTAATAATGGAAGAGTTAATATATTAGCTTTTCTACTGGCTAAAATTCTTTGAGATAATACAATACAGTGGTATTCCCATATGTGATGGGGTGTTCATCCCACATCAGCCCTGAAGGGGTTAAAGTGTCTCAAAAGAGGTCAATTCACCTTATAGGCTATACCTGGGGGACAGCCAGGACCTGATAAAGCCTAGCTGGGGGGAGTAGTATAAAGCCAGGAAGTTTTCACCAGAAATGGGGCTACAGTGAAAGAGTCTGCGTTTGCTCTCTGGGCACAGAGAGGTGGGTAGGAGGAAACCCATTGCGGAGCAAAAACCTTAGGATCCTATACCTGACAGAGGAGGTTTACCCAGAGAGTTGTGAGGAAGAAACCTGGTGGAAAGCAGAGTAAGAAAAAACCCAGGGCCCGAGCAGCAAGGGTTTAGACTGGGTAGCCCTCATCTGCTGATGATAGAGTCCCTGGTCTGGACCCTGAAGTAGCACGTGGGCCTGGGTTCCCCTACCAGCCACTGGGAAGTGGCACAGACTGGAAATTGGCACAGAAGACCGCCTGGGACGGTATACAGACAGTTGCTCCAGAGGGACTTTGATACCCCAAGAGGGGAAGACTATGTAGTGACCTAGCCAGAGGGCTGAGTCATGAAGAGCGTGGTGCTGTGAAGTATTGGAGGAGATACCACCACTGTGACAGTCTCACTGACAGAAGGGGATGCCAAACTGGGCAAGAGCTAATCCCCAGACCTAGCCATGAGAAGGCACCGTAGTAGTGAGTGAATCTTGTTACACCATAATCACATTTACATCATATTAGGTAGAAACTTCTTCCTTAATCCTACACATCTAGTTGGTCCTGGAGGGACAACTCTATAGGTAGGAAGGGTTATTTAGGTTCCATCACTCATTCACTCTTTGGTTTCTTCAGATACCACCAGCAAGAGCGTTGATTAGAAACAATTGTTGTGGAAGTTTTATTATAAATTATGTTTTGTTGCAGTAACACTGTGACCCTAAGAACACCCCAAGGCTGGAGGACAAGAGACTCTGGTATCTAGCAGTGAATCTTAGCTGGCCTGATCAGCACCTGGACAGAGTGATAGGGTAAGCAGGAAGTATAATGGGGGGATGTACCTTTGACATTTGCTTATATATTGTCTGTCTTTTTTATTTAGATTGTAATATCTGATTCAGATTTTTTGGACCGGGCCAGCACAATGAGTCACCCAAACACACTGGCAACCTGGACTTTTTGTTAAAGCCACTTTTTGCTCTAGCCACTGGGGGCAGGGGGTCTCGGGGCTCTGGCCGCAGGAAGGAGGGCAGGGGGGCACGGGCAGAAGGGGCAGAGCCGGGGCTAGCCTCCCCAAAGGGGGGCTCCACCCATGCACAGAAGCACTGCAGGACAAGTGGTGACACAACCCCTTACCAGGTTTGGGTTGAACCCCAAAGCATCAGACACCTAGAGGTCCAAATGAAGGATCAGGGCCCCATGGTGTTATGTATGTGTACATATATGTAACATAACAAAAATATTGTCCCTGCCCTGAAGAGCTTACAATCTAAGTATATAAGAAGGTGAATACAACAAGGAGACTGGGGAGTGTACAAGGTAAAAACATCTCTATTTGGTACTGTAGAACTCTGCTGACAGACTTGCATACAAGATGGGGGGAAATATTTTTCCCCCATTACTCTTTTTTTTTGGTGTCCATGAATCTAACAGTTCTGTTAATCTAGAGTAATAGGTGGGGAAAATTAAAAAAAAATGGAAAACTGATTAGTAACAATGGCCTGTCTAAGATCATAGGCTCAGAAAAAGCAGCAGGAAATCTTTTAAAACAAAGATTAGTCAAGTATTGCTCAGATTCTTTTAAAATACTTACAGATAGGCACATGGGTCCCACCAGTGACCGCAATACAGTTTGGGAACCAAATCTTTGCAAACCCATTAATAACCTCCTGTGCGTTGCCCAGCCTTATAACCCTGGAGAAAAGCAATTTCTTAATAGCAGCACACACCTCCATCACAATTTCTCCAAGAGTTGATCTATGGCCACCAAACTGGTTAGTTACAATAGCAAATGGAGGTGGGGAGCTTCCAGATGGCACTGGCCATCCATATGGAGGGCAGCTCTCACATAGGTGCCACCACTGAAGCTCCACTGTGAACTCTGCACAGATTTCTTGGAAAAGGAGTTTTAACATCCTGAAGTTCTGCCACCACTGTTGGTCATTCCAGATCTGCAGCACTATTCTGTCCCAGTCAGTGCTAATTGGGTGAGCCCAAAAGGAGCACTTCAGGAACAGTTCAAGGAGAAGTATCTGCTCAGTCTCCTCCTCAGGGGCTATTAGTGCTCTTGTGCTGAATTAATTTAGATAAGCTTGCAGCAACTTATTGACATTCACTACCATGGGAATTGCATTGCTCACCAATGCTTCCTCCATGCAGCCTGACAGCACTTAAAAATGGCACTGGATTGCAAAGAGCCAGATGGATGATGGGAGAAAAGGAGAGGAATCAGAGAATTATTTAGTTTGACCTCAAGCCCCAGAACTTCATTGCAGTCCAGGAGGTATCCCACAATGCATAGCATGAAAAATCCCAGAATGTATCAATTATGGTAAATTCCATTCTTCTTCCATTCTACCTACAAGAGCGACCCTCTGGCTTTGGGTCAGTATTTGGGTTCCCAAGGCCTTAGCTGCCCTTCTTTCCCTTTTTGACTTTCTACCCTGTCTGGGAGTGGAGAACAAATCTGGGGATATTTCAGAGAAGATTGGGGGTTGACAGTCTGCTGTGGATGCCTCACCAATTTTAGGGTCTCCATCATTCTCCAATCCCCCTACTGGGAGTAAGTTTCCAAACCCTGTGAAGTCCCTCCCTATGAGCACCGGGTATGGGAGTTTAGCGATTACACCTGCTGCTACCTCAATAGTGTTCCCTTGGATCTCGATTTTTACTGGGATGGTGGGGTAGTAACTAACTGTCCCATGGACACATGTGATCCCCGTACATTTAGCCTGCAGCAGCTGACTACGCTTCACGAGCTTCCCTGAGATAAGCATGATAGCACTCCCCGAATCAACCAGTGCCGTGGTCCCTACCCCATTTAGTTTCCCTGGTCTGGTATACATATGTGGGGTTAGTGAGACCCCCACAAGGTGGATTAGGGAGCATGGATCTGCCCAGTTCCCCAGGTTACACTGCATAGGCTCCTCAGCACTGGGACACTGTGCAGCTATGTGTCCCCACTCCCCGCAGGCATAACATCTGTATGGAGCCCTAGGTGTTCCCCGGTCTCTTGGTTTGGGCAGTCTAACATCACGATCCTCTTCTCCCTCATTGCTCTGACTCTTTGTGGCCTCTGATGGGCCTTCAGCCTCTCTCTTTTTCCACCTGGACACTCCTGGTGGCCCAGTCACCCGAACTTTAGGGCTTGGTGCTGCTAGTTTAACCCGGGGTGCCTCTTTCTTAACTGGTCGGGTCAGCTCCCTCACTGTCCTTCGCCTCTCTACCAGGGCGACAACCTTGTCATAGGTGGAGGGTTTGTTCTGGCTTACCCAGGCACGAAGGTCTGGTGGTAGTCCCCTCATGTATCAGTCGATGACCAGAACCGCTAGTATCTCTTTCGGACTTTCGTGCGAGATGGATGAGGTCATACAATTGGGACCGCGGGGTTTTGTCTTCCTGGCACCTCCAACCGTGATAGGTTGGAGGGCCCAGCAGTATCACGGTTGGAGGTACCAGGAAGACAAAACCCCGCAGTCCCAATTGTATGACCTCATCCATCTCGCACGAAAGTCCGAAAGAGATACTAGCGGTTCTGGTCATCGACTGATACATGAGGGGACTACCACCAGACCTTCGTGCCTGGGTAAGCCAGAACAAACCCTCCACCTATGACGAGGTTATGCTGTCATTACCCCAGATCTGGCCAGGATATCTGCTTTCAGCTGGGGGTAGTCTGCCGCAGCCTCTTCAGGCTGATCATGATAGGCCTTCTGGGCCTCCCCACACAGGAATGGGGCAAGGATGCCAGACCACTGATCTTGAGGCCAGGCCTCTCGTAGGGCTGTCCTCTCAAAGGCCAGAAGGTATGCTTCTACATCATCCTCCCGTGTCATTTTCTGCAGCCAATGGCTGGCCCGTATGAGCCACGTCCCATCATGGCCGCAATTCAGCGCTGTAAGGGACTTTACCTGGTTTACCAGTTCCCGCAACATAGCTCGGTCTTGAGCAGCCTGGTCCATCAGCAGGCGATTAGTCTCTTGTTGCAGCCACACTGCCTCCTGTTAGGTGGCTGCCTAGACACGGGTAGCCTCCTGCTGGGCCGCCATAGCTTGTATCAGTGCCCGCACTGTCATCCATTGTGATGAAAAAATAAACCATCTCCTTTTTTTTTTAAATCACCCTCCTTCTTCCGCCACACTGTGCACCCCAAGATCCCACTCCTGACACCAGTGTGACAAAGTGCCTCCTCTATCTTGTGGGTCCTGCGCTTATTGGCAGATTTTCTTGCTTCAGAGATTCACCATGTGGGTTGGGGAACAGCCCAGAGACCTTCCCCTCTGGGAGAACCCACAGTCCAGGTCAATTGGGAGCTTTGGGGGGAACCCGGGCCTGCCCTCTACTCCGGGTTCCAGCCCAGGGCCCTGTGGACTGCAGCTGTCTATAGTGCCTCCTGTAACAGCTGCATGACAGCTACAACTCCCTGGCCTACTTCCTCATGGCCTCCTCCAAACACCTTCCTTATTCTCACCACAGGACCTTCCTCCTGGTGTCTAACGCTTGTGCTCCTCAGTCTTCCAGCAGCATACCCTCTGAGCTCCTTGCACCTCTTGCTTCCAGCTCCTCACACTCGCACCACAAACTGAAGTGAGCGCCTTTTAAAATGCAGGTGCCCTGATTAGCCTGCCTTAATTGATTCTAGCAGCTTCTTCTTAATTGGCTCCAGGTGTCCTAATTAGCCTGCTTGCCTTAACTGGTTCTAGCAGGTTCCTGATTACTCTAGTGCAGCCCCTGCTCTAGTCACTCAGGGAACAGAAAACTTCTCATCCAGTGACCAGTATATTTGCCCTCTACCAGACTCCTGTACCCCACTGGTCTGGGTCTGTCACACAACATATTATGCATTTTCCAGAACTGCCAACAACCATGGAAAAAAATTGATTGTATTAGGTTCCATGCTAGAATATATACATTGCATTTCTTTCCCTGTTTTGATCTAATTTTTCCTAGCATGACTATGGTTATCACCATTTAATAAATCCTGGAACACGGAGACCACATACTAGATTGAAAACATTACATTTTGTCCCACATGAGTTGTTCACACAGAGTAATGTTAATATATCCATTGTTTATAATGGCTGTCTATATTTATTCATAAATACAGTGTACACATCTTCCTTGTCAAAAGAGGATTTTTGTTACTACAAAAATAGAATGAATTCAGGCCAGATAAACTTAATGGCACATTTGCCATCTGGGCAAAGCAAACAAAACAATAGAATACACTTATATGAAGATAGAACAATCAAATTATGAAATAAAAATACATTTGTGCTGTAGGCTGATCTATTGCACAACAAATAATTTAGCATCCCAAATATTATGTATATGTTTATTTGACAGAAGATTCACAAACCCGTACAGAAAAATATAGCACCTAAATGTTGGCACTGGAGGAAATAGTGGGCCTGATTCTCCACTCAGTCTCAGCAGTTTTAAACAAACTTAGTAACATTTGTATTGACCTGGCATAAAGAGGAAACTCAGAGCCACCTAGTCTCTTGTTCTGCTGAAAGATGTTAATGGCTGCCATCATCGGGAGTGGAGGATGGTCTTGGATCCAAAGCTAATCACAAACCTTGTTAAGCCAATGGCTGTGCCAAGTACTCTTTTTGAAGCTCAAAGAAGGCACAGTCAAGCCCCTTTATGTAATAAAAACAGCTGCGGGAGCTGGGGTGCTACTACTAAAGGAACTAGGCCACATGGTAGGGCAGAGCTAAGCCCTGTGGACTGGGGGGTTTCCCTGGTTGCAAATGCAGAGGGTGCAGATTCAGTTTTAGCCTGTGTGTTGGGGGTAGGGGGGAAGAGCCTAGAGAAGGAGTGGTGAGCGTGACCCCCCAGAGGAAACACAGAGGCTAGGGACAGGGCTTCTTGGGTACTGAGCTCACTGGAGTGGCAGAGTTGGGGATTTCTGAGTAAGGAAATTGCCTGCTGTAGTTTGTTTCTTGTTCAGGGAAACAGGATTTGGTGAATTAACAATCTTACACTAAAAATATATTTGACTCATATAATATATAATCAAGTTCTCATGTGACTTTCATATACTTTAAGGCCACAGAGACCACTGTGATCATGTAGTCTGACCTCCTGAAGAGCACAGGCTATAGGACTACCATGAGAATTCAAGCTGTGCTTGAACTAGAACAGGGGTCGGCCAAACACAGCACGCAAGCCGATTTTGACTGGCACGCTGCTGCCTACCTTGAGTCCCGGCCTCCAGCCCCACTCAGCCCCCCCGTCCACCGCTCTCCCTTGCGGGGGCAGGAGGCAGAAGCTTGCTCCTGAGGCAGCCAAGCTTCCCCCCTCCCCCGCTTCTTCCCCCAGCCTGGTGCTTTCCTGCCCCTTCTCCTCCCCCTCCCTCTCCCTGCGCCGATCAGCTGATAGCCCTTGGGAGGGGGAGGGGGAGCAGAGCAGAGCTGAGCGGCAGCGTGCTCGCTGCGCCATAGAGGAGGCAGAGAAGAGGTAGGGACGGGACCTTGGGGAAGGGGCTGGAACAGAGCATATCCCTTCCAGCCCCCTGCCATGAGCCGCTCAGGGCAGGGGGCTGGGAGCACTCCCACGAGCCAAGCACCTCAACCCTCTGCCTTGATCCCTGAACCCCCCCCCCACACCCCCAGCCATCTGCCCTGCACCTCCACATACCCCCAGCCCTCTGCCCTGATCCCAGAACTCCCACACACACAGCCAGCCTTCTGCCCTGACCCCTGAACCCCCATCCCCACTGCCCTCTGTTCTGACC